CACACCCCCATCAGCCCCTAGCCGGACCCTACCTACCCCCTGCCCTGTTCCCCATTTCTCATTACCACACCCGCGTCCGCGTCTCTTTCGCTTCTCTCCCCGAGTCGCACCTTGGCTTGTCCTTCAGCCCCGTCTTCTCTCTCCACCTTGTCGCCGTCCTGCTCGGCTTACGGGGCGCCCACCAAATTTGTCCTCGTCCAGCTCTGCTCGGAAGCTCAGGCGCCTGAGCATCAGACGGGCCGTGCCACCCCCTACATATGAGGTCACTCGACACTTTGTGCCGCTGACTGTTCGCTGGCCCTGGCTCTCCAATCGATTCTAATGGTTCCTTGCTAACCCGGACACCCCTCCAGACTGACGCCTGAGCTCATCGCCGAGTGCGAGCGCGTTGTGTCAAAGACCTTCCCGGCGTGCGTCGCGTTCCACAAGCCATCCTTTGTTCAGCAGCTCAAGAGTGCTTCCTTGGACGCTGCTCTTGTTTACGGTCTATTGACCTGTGCAGCCCGGTATGTCGACTATTCCGATCCCTGCTTTCCCCAATTTTTCCCTTTTGCACCCGCCCAATTTCCTCGGCCGGTGTCGCTTGTGCATCGCCTTGTCCGTGCCCTCATTTCCCGCGTCCTCGCTCACTCGCCCGCCCGACCGGCATGTGGATCCACACCGATCGGTGCCACCGTCACCGAGTGTTTGAGCTGGCGCATACCCCTTGGTGACGCCGTAGCCCGGATTTGTGCCGAGGCTTCCCGAGTCACTGCGATCCGAATCCCGTTTGGCGCCGCATCGTCGCCGTGAGCTTGTTGAGAGCTCCGGTCTAGACACTTCCAGGCCCGCTGATAAGATATGTGCCGCTAACATGTGCCGTCTGTAGGAGTTCGCCAAGCCTAATCCGCCGCTATGGAGGTCCGACTGCGGCTGCCGAGACCTTTGCCGCCAAGGCCATGACGCTCATCAACCAGAATCTCGACCATCCTAACCTCGTCGACATCCAGGCTCTGTGCCTGCTCATTATTCACGAATGGGGTTCTCGCAATGCTGTTCGCGCCTACATCTACCTGGGCCAGGCTGCCCGCATGATTCAGATGTACCGCATCCTGAACAGTCACCACCCGTCCCCCGATGCCGACCAATTCCTCCGTGACGAGTCGCTGCGCCGCACCATCTGGCTCATCTACATCCTCGACTGCCTCCTGACGAGCACTCCTGGACGTTTTCCCGCGCTCTCTGCGCACGATACCGCGGATGTGTCGTTGCCCTGCTCCGACATCAACTTTGCCTTTGGCAATGCTGTGTTTGTCAAGACTTTGCGGCAGCAGCTTGACCCAACTGCCATGCCTCCTGGCCAGACTTCCTCCGAGATTGGCGAATTCGGTTACATCGTCCTGGCCTCGACCATCTGGCGTGATGTGGTTGCCATGCTTACCACGACTACATTGTCTAGCTTCCGCGAGGAGGATTGTGCCGATCTGATTGCTAAGATCGAGGGCCTGCGAGCCTCTTTGCCGATGCAGTTCATCGATAAGCCAGGCCAGATCAACCTGCACATGACAATGGGCTCGGGATACACCTTTGCCATGCTGCACTGCCTTCTCCACTGTGCAACCATCTTTGTGCACCGTCGGCGTCTGCTGCAGGAAGTGACTGCTGCCAACTTTAACCTGGAGTCGTTCCGCTTAAACCCCCGATGCCACGATATTATCGATCGTCTTTTTACCTCGTGCCACGGCACCATCTCTCTACTGACCGCCGTCGAGGCTGGCTCCGAGAAGGATCACATCCCGTGCTTCCCCATCTTCATGCTCTTCTCGGCCTTCACCGCCAGTGCCACAGTTGCCTATCTGTCTCTGAAGGGTCTCACACCACCCAATGCTGTCGAGACTGCAGCCCACATTGTGAAGGATGGTCTTCGCTTCATGAGCGACGGCACAGAGAACTGGCCGCTTATGGGCAGCTGGCTGCGACACCTCACCGTCATGCAGCGTGTCCTGAACAACGACGCCGCTGCTGCTTCTGGCTCATTGCGTCACGGCTCGACCTCCCACGCTGCGGCGGGCATCAAGGACGAGATTTCCTCCAACGCCGATACGAACCCGGATGCTATGGACTACGATCAACAGACGAACGCTGGCGGAAGTGTGTCGGGTCAGGTCAACCCCAACCGATCCGTCTCTGAGTCGGTGCGCGGTGACAGCGAGCCTCCTGTCGCCATCGCCAGACGACCTGGAGTCACCACCATTAATGGTGGCTCTGGTGGGGTGTCTACTCCCACTACAGTCTCCCCTCCCCCGGGGAGTGCCCCTCACGGGGTGGTGCACGATATCAAGCAGTCAAGCCCCGAGATGGCCAACGGCATAGTAGCCAGCCAGGACGGGCAGACCACAAGCCAAGACATGACGGCACCTGAGCTGTGCCAGGCCTTTGAGAGACAGCTCCTTGACCTTGACGACCTTGCCGCCTTCATGGGTGGCGGCGTTTAGAAGACAAATTATTGATACCGAAATTTTGGTGACGGTGCATCATGAAGCTATGAAGGAACTATTGAGGACTAATGGGGTTATAAGGCGATGCGATGGATTTTACTTTCGTGTGACTTTTTTTTTTCTTTCATTGATGTTGTTCTACCGTTGACGGGGACGCTTCAAATATGAGGGCCAAAGACGGAGGGTTAATGCCGTTCTGGGGAAGCCATGTCACGATGATGAAGCGAGAGGGTAGCATATTGAGGACCAGGGGACGTGTAGGATTATGTTCGTGGGGATACCCAATATACCCTGGGCCTGGGGGCGTTGGGGTGGGAAATATTTCGAATTGGTGTCTGGAGACACCTGGCACTTGTTACTGGTATTCTAAGATCAAGACAATCTTTGCTTTCCCTCGATAGAGGGGTTACGATATTGTGCCTGTTTGCAGTGATGTTGAACTTGTTCTCAGCGACGTTTGTAAAGAGGCCATCATCACCTAGTTACAGAGTGTGGGTTTCAAGACAAGACGATGTTGAAACCCAGTCTCGTGACGTTGAACTCGTGCCTGGACTAGCCCAGGGGCATGCAACTGATGAATGGGACAAGAGTCTGGGCTCTTCTCCAAGTCTCCAACTTGGAGTCACTTGGAGTAGCTCCTAGATGTGTCCTGGATTACCAAGCTGTGCATTCTCCGACTTCGCAGAGCCGCAGTGGAGTCAATTATTGAAAGCAGGTGGACATGCATGGAAATCAAGATGGAAGCCAGGGTCGAGACCAATCACCGGTTCCATGACCAAGATATTTTTCCAATGGCCGAAGGGATTGCCGAGGATAAGAGACGGCTATTAGCAGTCATGGGTCAAGTGATGGATGACGAAGTGAAGGAAAAGAGGCTGAAGAACAAGAATAAGCGAAGGCGGGTAAAAATGGGCCTGCGATGTTCGGAGGTTCGGGAATTGGAGAGAGAGAGTGCAGGTGACTTGTAGTTCCTGTGATTGATATCTTATTTTTGGACGAGGCTGAATATGACAGAATGCCAAGTTTTTTTTTTGTCCCCCTTTCTTGTTTTATAGAATTGTTCTGGAAGGACTGGAAAGGGGCTGGCACCTATTCAACTCGGGTTGTCATCAGAGAGACATGAGTGATGGGGATCGGCACACACTGATCAGCACGTCTGACACCGCTCGGGCTGGAGAGTGATTTCCGGGGAATCAAGCTTGTTGGCGCTAATGGAGAAGCATGTTTTGATAGTCTAGTTGAATGGGGGAGGAGGGTCTGGAGCAGCATCCTCGAGGGGTCAGGATGGTGGTTTGTGGGGATGTAAGCTTGGAGATGGAGGCCTTGGAGTCCATGTCATTGGCCTTGGCATTGGAGTAGTCATGAGACAAAGTAATGCATTGTCTCCTCTATCTCTCCTCCTGACTCGTTTACGCGCTGTAAACTGACTTCTGACAACGTATTGACTCGAACCAACATTCAAAGGGCTGCCTCCCCCAGTGATGTCAACTGGCAAGGGGACCCACTGAGGATGCCGGATTGCCGAATCTCCCTCTCCAAAACAGGGATGGGCCCGGCCGGGTCTCCACTCTTTTCGGCGGACCTGTGCCGGGAAAGACGGCGTGTGATGGGACAGAATCTGAAGTCCTGGGGGAAGATTTGGGTCGTGCGGAGGTGGTTTTTCTCCAGGTTGTAGGGATTATGGAGAAGAAGGGATCCTTTGTTCGTGAGGGGAAGGAGGGGGGGGAAAGGGTTGGGATGTCGGCAAGTGTCGTCCTGAAAGATTGTTGTGACGATGCCAGCTGTGATTGTTCATCTAGATCTTTACCTGTATCTCTATGAAAATAACACATTCTATGTAATTCCCGGTTTAGAAGATGACAAAGCTGTGAAACTGGAACGAAGGAGAAAAGCCTTCTACCATGTGACGGGTACGACCGTGTGGAGCACCGGCAAGCCCGTAAGGTAGCAGACATCTCTCTCTTGCTCGACCAAGATACGGGAGGTCCCTGCGGCCCCTGCAACACAGAAAACCGAGATCTGCGAGGGTAGATGCCGAAAGCAAAAGAATGGTCCAGGCCTCCGGAGCCGGCACGCCGCAAAGGTACCCACGAGACCTGCAAGAGAAAAAGAGACACTGACGTCGAGCCGTATCAAGGGCTCGTGATTGGATAGACTAACCTTTGCTTATTGAGTTCGGCATGGGTTCGGGGGATCGTCGTGATGAGCGTTTGTGCCGTGTAAGTGGGGATCTTTTGGATGAGCGCAGTAGGAGTATATTAAGATGAGGGTGTTCCGCATCAAGGGAGGCTTTTTTACTCTGTTACTCAGACAAGTCTTGACCTGTGTGTCTTAGCTTCTACACATCATTTCATATATATACCTCGACATCTACTGTTGTGGTTTACACATTTATCAACGGTTTACATTACAACACACGCTACTTGACAGCCACATTCCCATCATTGGCTTCATCGATTGGTCTACACACTACATCACATTCAAACTACAAACAAGAGGAATACCCTCTACAAAAAGCCCATCATGGGTGAACACGAGTACGACACGTCGGCACCTCACGAAAACATGACGGCCGGCAAATACATCACCACGCGTCTCCCGACGCTCAAACCTCCCATGCACCAACTGCAGAACCCGATAAAACTGCTGCGCATGCTCAACGCGCAGCAGTGGGCATTCTTCTTTGTCGCATTTGCGGCATGGGTACGTCCTCCCACACATTACGCTCCTGAGTACAGTCGCTGACTTTGATAGACGTGGGATTCGTTTGATTTCTTCACTGTTTCTTTATCGGTGACGAGTCTGGCCAAGACATTTGACAAGACAAAGACGGACATCACATGGGGTATCACTCTGGTCCTCATGTTCCGATCAGTAGGATCTATCCTCTTTGGTATTGCCAGCGATCGATACGGTCGAAAGTGGCCATTCGTCATCAACAACATTCTCTTCATCATACTCGAGCTTGTAAGTCTTTTCATCCCTGCTGTGGATCCCGGCTTGGCAATCTTGGCAGCCTTTTGCTAACTTGATGGTAGGGAACTGGTTTCTGTAATACTTATTCTCAGTTTTTGGCTTGTCGAGCTCTTTTTGGTGTCGCCATGGGTGGTCTTTACGGTAACGCTGCCGCTACCGCCCTTGAGGATTGTCCCGAGGAAGCTCGAGGTATCATGAGTGGTATTCTTCAGCAAGGTGTAAGTACCACGCCACTTCACTTGTAACCTTCCATTGCTAATATCTTCTCAGTATGCCTTTGGATATCTTCTCTGCGCCGCATTCGCCCGAGGTCTCGTCGACACCACACCCCACGACTGGCGTCCCCTGTTCTGGTTCGGCGCCTGTCCCCCCGTCCTCTTTATAATCTTCCGACTCATGCTTCCCGAGACGCAAGCATACCAAGAACGTCAACGTCTCCGCCAAGAGGCCGGGTCGTCCGACGGCAAGGGCAAGGTGTTTGTCAAGGAAGGCAAGGTCGCGCTGAAGCATCACTGGATGCTTCTCGTGTACCTCGTCCTCCTTATGGCCGGCTTCAACTTTATGAGCCACGGTAGTCAGGATTTGTACCCCACCATGTTGGAGAACCAGCTTGGCTTCTCAAAGACAAAGGTCACTGTTACTCAGGTTGTTGCTAACCTGGGTGCCATGTCGGGAGGTACTGTTATCGGTTTCCTCAGTCAGTCCATTGGTCGTCGACTGAGCATCATCATCTGCTGTATCGTCGGCGGTGCACTTTTATACCCCTACACATTCGTCCGTGACGAGTCCATCATCGCGGCTGCATTCTTCCAGCAATTCTGTGTCCAGGGTGCCTGGGGTGTCATCCCCATCCACCTGATGGAACTGTCCCCTGGTGCTTTCCGTACCTTTGTCGTCGGAACATCCTACCAGCTCGGTAACCTCGTCTCTTCAGCATCATCAACCATCGAAGCCCGTCTGGGAGAGAAATTCCCCCTCCCCGAGACAGAAAAGGGCGAGAGCCGATACGACTACGGCAAGGTCATCTGCATCTTCATGGGATGTGTGTACGCATATGTCATTGTCCTGACATTCATCGGTCCCGAGAACCTACGCGGCAAGTTTGACGTTGCCCACGACTCGGATGCTCGCGAGGTTGTTGGTTCTCAAGCCATGGAGAACGCAGCCATGCACCACCGCAAGGCTAGAGATGAGGAAGAGAACGATCCCAGGATCAGTGGAGAGAAGGCCGAGGTTACACATGTTCGGGATTAGATTTAAAAAGGATTTAAGGGGAGGCCTGAGGCGATTTGGTGAGGAAAAAGCCCAGACGATGGATAATCGTGGAGGATTTGTCAAGATGCCTTGTCTCTGACATGAGCGTCTGGTATATGTTAGCATTTTATGAGTTATGAATTGAAAGCATGAAACAAGCACAATGATTCCAATCTTGGCGGCTCAAAGGTTATCACGCCCTTAAGTTGACAATCAGTCTGTTGCTGATTCCATCTCACTATCATCCTGGCTTGACCCGCCCCCGCATGCCTCCTCATCAACGTGGCGCCTCATTACGTATAGCAACCGTTCTCCAAAGGAAGATCTTTGCGGATCCGCATGGGACTGTCCTTTCGGGCGTGTTATCCAATTTCTCCGGCCAGCGAATGCTCCGCTTTTCCGGGCTGTTTATCATGCCAAGACTGACCGGCGCGGCGGGAGAGGCTTTCCCCGCATTCATGGATGTGCTTGAAGGAGGGGATTCCAAATGTCGTTGGAAATAATGACCTGACTTCTGTGGTCAGACAAGGGTGAAGATGCTGCTTTATGGGCAGAGATTTGGCGTGTAGACGTGTTGTCGATTACAAACTCGAGCTGTATCGGAGCTGTGATGTCAGAGGATTCATCCATGGTGAGGGGGACATCTGAGGCAGTCGGGTAACTCATATCCGGGCCTCAAACTAGACGCCGACGGTGTAGCATCCCGCGCTTGGCCATCTCTAGTTTGCATTGACGTAAAGGAGCGGGCGACCGGCCGGACTGGGTCGTCGGGTCCTGTCCACAGGGTCAAGGTCGAGGTATATATATTCGCTGTCCGAGAACCTTGAGAGCACTTTTCACTCTGCAGATCATCGAGACACCTTGAAGGCCTACACACCTTTCCAAAGATACCCTAGCTTTGTTCACTTTATTCACAATGCCTCTTTCCGGAAGCTGCATGTGCGGAGCCATCGCATACAAGAGCACAAGTGAGGCGTCTTTGTTACCAGACTTGTACATGTCTAATTGTTTTAGGTGACCCTGCTGTTACTGCTCTTTGCCATTGCCTCGATTGCCAAAAGGTGAGTGGTTGTCGTTGCTGCTAGATATGTTGTCGCTAACACATCCAAGTGGACGGGCGGCCCCTACACCACCAACGCCGTGGTCCCCGAAGACTCATTCAGCGTCACCAAGGGTGAACCCCCCCAAACCTTGGATCATTAATTACATAAATTAACTTTTTCTCAGGAACCCCCAAGCACTGTGACATAACTGGCGCCTCTGGAAAGAACAACCGCCACTTCTTCTGTCCCGACTGCGGCTCTAGCCTGTACACGCGCCTCGACGTCATGCCCGGCAACATCGTCATCAAGGCGGGTGGTCTCGACGAGGGCAAGACGAATCTCAACAATAAGATTGACGTCGAGTTTTACTGCCGCGATCGGCTTGACTTTGTGAAGCCCATTGAGGGCGCCAAGCAGGAGCATCTGTTTGGTTAAGCAAGCTTCATGATCGGATGTCGGTGTATAGATGGGTCGGGTGACTAGACTACGATTGGCACGACGGTTCTAGCTGCATCTGTAAATATCAACTTTGCTTTTTGCTCGACTTGGCGGTTCGTGCCGTGTTTCACAGCCATTCTCTTTGGCTACTCACCGGTGCTGATTTCGCCTCTTGTCCATCACATGAGCTTCCCCGACGGAGTGAGCCAGTCATTCATCCAGTGGCTGTTTCCATGGAGATTGGTGAGTTTTTGAGTGACGCCTCAACATTCCTTCTTGTAAGCTTTCTCTTGCCTCTCAACTTGAACAACTTCTTTCCTTGTAAACATGTCATATTCATCTTTCCCTCAAGAATTCGCAATTCTCTCCGTCTTCGGTCTCTGTCGCGCACGTCAGCTGAAGCTGATTTGACGTCTCACAACGCCAGAGTGGGTCACCCAGCTTCTCCGCAAGTTGGAGGTGATTGCCTCCCGAGAACCCAACCCCTTCATATCCTTGTATACCGAGATAAGAAACGGTTTCATTCTTCACCGAGCAAGCTTCTTCCATTTCATCAATAAGAAATTTATAATCCAGGTTTCTCACAAGTAATGGGATCTGCGCAATCTACGACACGGGCCGAAGGCGCCGAGTTTCTCCTCCCACCTTTCAGCCGCGATATCACGACAAGCTCTCCAGAGGCCAAGAAATGGGTCGAGGATGGCATAGTCTGGTGCTACGCTTTTAATCATGCAGAGGGAGCCCGATGCTTTGAAAAGGCCATCGCTGCTGACCCAGCTTGTCCCCTCGCCTACTGGGGTCTCGCCTTCGCCCTAGGTCCCAACTACAACAAGCCGTGGAAGCACTTTAATGGAGACGACCTTAAGCAAACGGTTGGCCAGGTGCTTGAAGCGTTGAAAAAGGCTGAGGCACTATCTTCAAAGGCCACTCCTGCTGAGCGCGCCCTCACCAGCGCCCTGCGACATCGCTATCCAGATGACGCCGATGCTACCAACAACTACAAGGTCTGGAACCGCGCATATGCTGAGGCTATGAAGCCAGTGTATCAAGACTTCAAGGATGACCTTGACGTGGCGACACTATACGCGGATTCTCTCATGAACCTAACACCTTGGGCCTTGTGGGATGTGCGGACAGGAAAGCCGGCGCCTGAGTCAGAGGTATTAGAGACACAAGGGGTGATTGAAAGGGGACTGGCTCAAGATGGCGGATACGAGCATATAGGCCTTTTGCATGCCTACATCCACGTCACCGAGATGTCAGCCGAGCCCGAGAAGGGTCTTGTCGCGGCTGAGCATCTCCGTAGATTGGCAGGAGAAGCAGCCCATCTCGCGCACATGCCATCCCACCTCGATATCCTCATCGGCGACTACCGACGAGCCATCTCTGCAAACACCAAAGCCGTGTTGGCTGATGAAAAGTATGCGGCTCTTCGTGGAACCGGTGACTTTTACACCGTCTACCGCATGCATGACTACCATTCCCTGATTTACGCTGCCATGTTTGCGGGTCAGTACGGGGTTTGCATCAAAGCCGTAGATCGGATGGAGGTAGCGCTTCCAGACGATGAGCTACGGCCTATGGCTGACTGGTTGGAGACTTTCCGGTCTGTCCGTCCACATATTCTGATCCGGTTTGGCAAGTGGCAAGAACTCATCGATCTTCCGCTTCCTGAGGATCAGGAGCTCCTGTGTGTGACGACGGCGATGATACACTATGCCAAGGGCGTGGCCTGGGCGGCGACAGGCAATGTTGAGGAAGCTGTCAAAGAGCGGGAGCTGTTTCTCGCGGCAAAGGCGAGAGTGCCTGCTAATCGGATAGCATACCCCAACACGTGCTCTGACGTTCTGGACGTGGCCGAGGCCATGCTTGACGGCGAGCTTGAGTATCGTCGGGGCAACATTGAGCTGGCGTTTACCCACCTTCGCAAATCGATTGAAAGAGACGACGGTCTGCGCTACGCTGAGCCGTGGGCATGGATGCAGCCTGCCAGACACGCATATGCTGCGTTGCTGATGGAGCAAGGTCGTATCGAGGAGGCAGCTGAGGTGTACCGAACTGACCTTGGACTGGACAACAAGCTATTCCGAGCGAGACATCACCCAAACAACGTATGGGCGCTGCACGGATATCACGAGTGCGCGGTCAAGTTGGGCCTCAAGGGCGAGGCCAGCATCATCAAGCAACAGCTTAAGACGGCCATGGCGTTTGTGGACGTGCCCATCGAGTCGTCGTGCTATTGCAGAAGGGACGTGGTGAATGAGTGTTGTGGAAAGACCAAGATCTAAGCTACCTACGAGTGAGGGCTGGGTGTCATATATAGTAGAATCTAGATGGTGTCAGAATGGAGTTTGAATCTTCTCAAATTGGCTCATGATGATCCACAAACTCTCTCACCAATAGTCTTCGGGCCAGTCATTCGTGCTCAGCTCTATTCAATTACTATGTTCCTCTACTTGATTATAGTCCCAAGACAGTTGCAAGTAAGTTGTCCGGATCGGACATGATTCTGTTAGTGGGCTCTCCTTGCACTGACGCTCACCCAGTCTTGGCTCTGGCGGTGACGGGCATACCGGGCTTACAAGCGATGATGAACCTTCAGATAGAAAGCGGTTTCTTACTTCTATTCTTATCGTATCTTGGATACTCATTTGCTCTCGCAAAAATATTTTCTTTTGTGAAATTTGATGTGCTTCCGAAGCCCACGACGTGGACGACACAAAAACTTGGCCCACGAGACCCCGCGTCTACTCAATTCTCCCCCAACACCATCATCACCCTCAACCTCACTACTTCCCCAGAGATATACCAACTTACCATATGCCTCGTCCTGTAAAGAAAGGCGCCTGGTATGTTTCATGCTCTTTCTCGCACTCGGTGTAGAGCTAACTTGAGAGGACAGCCACACCTGCAGACGGCGCAAACTGAAGTGTACGCCAACTCATGGCCCTCTCGTTCTACCGCTGAACTCATTCTGATGCCTCATCTTAGGTGGCCAAGAACTACCCTCGTGTCAGCAGTGTTCTAAATCAGGCCGCTATTGTGATAGATCCGAGACGCCGACCCGGTTCAGTACATCACCATTCACTTCCGCTGCTGTCACTATCTCTGGCTGACACTCACTCCGGTTCAACACCAGGAACTACCAGATCCCGATAGCCCACGTCGCGCCCTCACAGACCAAAGGATAGCCCGTTTATTCCACTCGTACACCGCTGAAGTATCGCAATGGTACGACTTGAGCGACTCAACGGGCGCCTTTGGCATACTTGTTCCCAGCATTGCTCTAGACGAGCCACTACTCTTTTGCGCCATCATCGCACTCTCTGCCATGCACGCCTGTAAGACCTCAGCAAAAAGTTTTAGAAAAATGGCCGAATTTTATCATCACCGCTGCGTGCAGAGGCTCATCGAACTTGACCAAGAGGACGAACTCATCACCCGGGGAGTTGCCCTCACAGCGACATGTCTTTTGCGATCTTACGAGATTCTTGACGGTGACATCGACCCAAACAGGCACCTCCGAGGCGCCTACTCCATGGCGCCCCTCCACGATGTGCTATCTGGCAATCTGCAACCGGGACTGCCTGGCGCAGGCTTCTGGAACTACCTGAGAGAAGACATTACCTTCAGCTTGTTTGAGAAATGTCCACTCAAGATGGATTTGGCCACCACTCCGCTTCTAGTCAACCACCATTCAGCCCAAGATTACCTCAACTCTATCACCCTGATTCTTGGAAAGATCATCAACACCACATTCGACCGTGACTTGACGGATTCAGAATGGATTTCTGCTGTGGAAATGCTAAGTCAATGGCGAGCAGCCTGTCCAGAAATAATGCAACCCTTTTCTCGAGAACAATCGGAGCCAGGGGCCATCCATCTGTTCCCAGCGGTGTGGTTTTTACAGCCATGCCATGGTAAGTTCCTACTTTGTCCTTTTCCCCAGAGATGGCTCTGACGATTCGTAGCGGCAACAATGCACTATTACCTTGTCGCTCTGACTATCCTATGTGTCTACGCAAGTCTGCAGAACCTTGAAGACTTGAGGAAACTGGACCTTTTTGGTATCGAAGTCGAGTCCAAGGACCAACTTCTGGACGCCTTTGCGGTCGAAATCTGCGGCATCGCTTTCACCACAAAGATACCCTCCGTTCTCGTCAATGCCTTTGGCCCAATTGCATACTGTGCGTTACCTACTTCATCGTCCAACCGTTGGGCTTACTGACCAGGTACAGGTGCTAGATTCATCAGCACTGAGCCCGCCCGCCAAGAACTCGCCCGACAGCTCCTCGCCTGCAAGTCCAGCATCGGATGGCCGGTGGAACGGCTCATAAATGAGCTCAAGTCTTTCTGGGGCGCCGAAGAGACAAACTGAAATGCAGAAGCGATTGTTGGTCAGATGTCATCCAAGCGACCCTAGACGAAGCTCTATGGGGCAGGGTTTTCCGAGCTCGGGAAACCCGCATGGTCTTGGCTATCAATTGGAACTATAAATCATGATCCCATTCTTGCTCTAGAAGAGGGCTCAACTCATTCCTCAGACCTTCTTTCATCTTATAAAATATTTATCATCGCCTAGAGATATGGCTGCCATGTTGCGGACTCGAACGATCCTACCAACCCTCATCAAAGGGACCCGATCCTTCGCGACGGTATCCTCTACCTCTCAACTCGGAGTTGTTCAACCTTCTGTCAAGGAGATAAACAACTTGTCCCTTGACTCTAGGAACCTTGAAAAGGCTGTGCGGCACATGCACAGAGATGGCCTGGTTGTCGTCGAAGACGTTGTTCCCCATGAGCACCTTGACCTGTTGAACAAGAAGATGGTCGAGGACGCCAACACGCTTCTAGCCCGAGGTGACAAGGGTCCTTATAACTACAACAAGGGAAACATCCAGCAGGATGCTCCTCCTGTAGCTGAGTACTTCTTTCCTTCCATCTTTACAAGTATGCTTCCTTGTACATACCATGTCCCAGTTGACTTACATATCTGCTAGACCCCATTGCTACACAAATAACCACAGCCGTGATGGGCCCTCGGCCAAAGTGGACGTTTTGCTCTGCAAATTCGGCAATGGCAACCGCGCCCGGAGGTTCTCCCCAGCGTCAGCCGGTGCATTCAGACGCCGACTTTGCCCACCCTGACCACCCATTTGCCCTTGTCGTCAACGTGCCCCTTGTCACAGCCACACCAGAGAATGGGTCGACCGAAATCTGGCTCGGAACCCACAGCAGCTTTGGGCTTGATGCGCAGGAAGGCGCTCACGGTGATAGGGCCAGTGGTCGTATCAGGGAGGATCTCTTGCGCCAGCGCGAGAAACTCTCACCTCCACTGCAGCCCGTCATCAAAAAGGGTAGCATCATCATCCGCGACCTGAGACTCTGGCACGCGGGGATGCCAAACACTACTCAGGAGACCAGAGTCATGCTAGCTATGATCCATTTTGCGCCTTGGTTCAGGAACAGGATGAGGCTCGAGTTTGGGCAAGATGTCAAGCCTATTCTTGAGAAGTTGGAGGGCGAGGGAAAGCTTGGGTTGGATGTGCCCGTAGACTGGGTCAGTAGGGAGGCTGTGCTCGAGGGATATTTGAACAGGGGATTCGGGAATAGCTATGACTTTGACCAGGAACCTTGAGTGAGCATTTCATGCTACCTGAAGGTATACTGGATGCTGGCAACCGTCGAAGATGCCGAGTTCGTCACCTTAATCACAACATGTACACTTTTACATCGCAAGCAGATGAACCGTCAAGTATGGACCAGTATTCAGTTGAAAGAATACTCAAAAATAACCAAAGCTAGCTATCTACGATTCCAACGCCAAACTCCATTCATCATCCGTTCTAGGTCATTAGTCAGAGTCGCTGCTGCTGCTCGAGCTTCCATCGACGCCGCGAGTGCGGTGCTTCTTGTTCTTCTTGTTCTTCTTGTGCCTGTCGCATTGTTAGCATCTTCTATTCAGACCGAGAGAATCTAATGAGACATACTTCTTGAACTTGTTCTCTAGCACGTTGGCGCCAACGGCACCCGCAGCGGCAGCGCCCAGGCTGCCGAGGAATCCGCCGCCGGCGCTGTGAGCGGCCCAAGCTGCAGCTCCTCCACCGACAAGAGTAGCGCCGAGACCACGGTCGCCGTCAGGGCCGGGCTGGCCGGGAGGGTATTGGCCTGGAGCACCGCCGCCGGGATAGGCGGGAGCGCCGTACTGAGAGCCGGGTTGGCCATGCTGCTGAGGGTATGGGGAAGTGCCGCGCTGGTCATAGTTGGGTTGCTGGCCGTAGCCCTGCTGGCCGGGAGGAGGATGGGGAGAACCGTAGCCGGGCTGAGGAGAGTGCGAAGCGTACTGAGGCTGCTGCTGATAACCTCCGGGGGCGGGAGAGGGGGCACCGTAGCCCTGCTGAGGCTGGGAATATTGTTGCTGGTATCATGTTAGAAGACGAAGATGCCACTAGAAGCTTTGGAGACAAACCTGCTGGGGATAACCACCCTGCTGCTGACCATAGCCTTGCTGCTGCTGAGCATACTGAGGTTGGCCATAGTTTTGCTGTTGGGGATGGCCGCCCTGCTGGCCATAACCCTGCTGCTGCTGGCCGTAGCCAGAGTTACCGCTACCGCCGTAGTAATCTGAAGCTGACATTCTGTGTTTGTGTTGTGTTGATAGGATACTCGGAAGAGTCGGATCTAGATGATAGGTATCAAGTGGAGTTGAGAGGTGTTGATGATGGATGAGGAAAGTGAGCCCAACATTCCCCCCTCCCCCGCCTTTTAATACCACCCATGGTCTACATGGAAACGCTCAGAGCTCTCTAGCTTCGTGGCCAAAGTGTGCCTTAGCTGACCAAAGCGCTCACGTCATGACCATCTAAACTGCCCCGGGCGCAGTCACTGCGCGAGTCCTCGCAAGCCACACGAACGCCCCCAAGGCCGATCTAACCGGTCTCAGAACCAGCCAATAATGCCTCGCACGTGACATTACCGCGTGCAGAGTGCACGTTTGCGGGTGTGGCTGAGGCGGAGCAAAGCGCTGCTTCGGGTTTAGCTCCAGGGCGGTCCCCTCTCGGTTTCGGGACCGGGTCAGACTCGGATGGCGAGTTCCCACTATCTCCGTGCCAAGTCCGGCCTACTTTGATCGTCAGGGTCTCCCCCAGGGCTGAAGCGCTAGAACCCCAGTTGGGAGCGGCTGTTGCGAGAATGCCTTGGCGGACTCATCCGTAGGATGCAGCCATTATCGGTTGAAGTAGCAAATCAGATTCCATTAAACATTAGACATTAAAACGTTGTATGTGAGCTTACATGGCGTCTCTAGGCCAGATCCTTGAAACCCTGGTCCACAGACGCGCAGATCTTGTCCACCACCTTGTCCTCCTGCTCCTCACTCAGGCCAAGCCCCAGCGAGCCCGGCTGCCACGTAACCGTGTACACCAGATCGCCTCCCTTGACCGCGATCACGTTGAAGGTTATCGGAGAGCTGGCGACGCTTCCAGGCTGAGCAAACACCATCTTGGTGATCTTGGCCGACGACTCCTTCTCGGCGACGCCGGCGTCAAAGGCGCCGACGTTGCTGATGCCGAAAGAAGAGTCTCGCGGCTTTCCAACCTTGGACAAGGTCCACTTGCGGATGCTGGGCGCGTATCTCAGTAGCCCTACCGGTTGATCGTGTAGTCTGACGGCGGTTGCGGCAAGCTCACGTGTAGAAGCGCTGGCTGATTCCCACTCCTTGTCGGTCAGAGGCCCGGTGGCATCAGAGCGAGGGAAAGGGATGTAGCCGCCCGACACAAATTGCCCGTCAACGTCGTTGGAGACACCGACGGACCGTCGCATGTTAGCAGCCGTTTCGGCGACAAGATTGGTGAACTTGGCATCCGGCACAATCCTGCTCATGGCACGTGCGATGATCGTCTGCATCGTCCCCGTGAGCTTGGCGTCGTGTGCTCTTGCAGCTCGAATCGCGTTGTTGACCAGCGGCGCCTTGATCTCCTGAATCCTGAGCTTGGTGTAGTACTTTTCTGGGTTGTAGGCTATGATGCCTCCAGTGAATGTGCCCTCGTTGACGGTGGATGCCCCGAGACGCATGCCCAGCAGCTTGACGAGGAAGTTTGGCATGAACAGTGCGATGAGGGGCTCAAGGAGGAATTTCCACGAGATCGGGAGTCTCTCGGGTGTATCGAAGGGCTCTGTCAGTGGGGTTGCGGGAGGTGTGACAATGGCTGTAGGCTCAACAACAGGTGTTCCTCTGCATCCAGTCAGGAAAGTCTTGTGAAACGCAATTCCTGTCGGGCCATCGCCAATCATGTGGGAGAATGAGAACGCGATGAAGCATTCCGACGGCTTCAGAGGTAGCACAACGATCCTCCACGGTGGGTTGCCGGCGGTGAACGGGAGGTCCAGCTCAGGAACCAGCACCTTGCCGATAGCGCCCAAAGGATCAGCGGCGACATTCGGATCATCAACAATAGTGATGTGATCCTCGATATTAATACTAGGCACACGCTGATAAAACGCCTTTTCTGTGTGTCTGTCGCCAACAGTGACGCTGAAGAAGGGGTGCTGGTCAATGCAGCTCTTCAGGGGCGCAAAGTAGGACCGAGGCGACTTGACATCAAACCCATCCTCAAACTCGTAGATGGCGCCAATTATGACTGCGTGATAGAAGTTGAGATCTTCTCGGACAATCGTGCGCATCTCATTTGGACCTGGCGAGTGTTAACGTGGTTGTGGCTTAGGGTAGGGGGTCGACTCACTTGCGTACCGCAGAAACTCGGCCTTTTCAGACATGGTGAAGAGTTTATGCACAACAGGTGTAATAAATTTGACGATAGGGTTATACAAAGTGAGCCACAGCAGGTTCTCTTGCTGATTGACTTCGTTATCTATCCAGACGTTATGTATGATGTCTGAAGCTGGCGGCCTCTTTTTGAGGCGTCACCAGTTAAATGAGATGTGGGCCTTGATGGTGCGACATAACCAAACGGGATCGATTTCGCATCCGAAGAAGCCGTAAAAGATCCTTGTCGCGCGCCGTTTCAATTGCTCTAAGCGAGGAAGGATTCACGGCTGAAATCCGTAGGGCTAAGAGTTGCAGGTTCGCTTCCAGCCAGAGTGAGCACTCGTCCTGCGTTACGTTACTTGGGAAATGAGGCCTGACAATCGCACGGTTCGTATTGCTGATGACCGTGCTTACGCAGTGTCTATATTACCTGTCGCTTTCTTGGCAATCTGATAACGGCTTGGCAGGGCAGCTGGTGTCTTTCGATGTGCACATCAAGCTCGCTTACAGGATCACCACGTCATGGCGACAGACTGAACTATACAACAGCATCCTTTGTTTTATTCGAACAGGGCATCATGGCTTATATAGCCACTTTCCCGAGACAGTCATTTAAATATATTTTCAAATCCAATTTCAAGTGCTGCTCTTACAGCACCACCCCATTTCACGACGCTTTTCTCTTCTCTTCAAGCCAGTTCTATTTCTGCTAGACCACCATTATCCGATATTGGACAATGTTCAAGGCTTCAGCGATCAAAGATTTATACTGCTCTCTCTGCTAAAGCAGCTTGACAGAATCTAAGAATTCATCAAGTTGAATGACACAATTAGTCATCAAGTTCCGTGGCACCGCCTATCTAGACGTTGGCTGCCTATTCACTCCGCGCTGGATGATTGGCCCCAACATACAACTTGAGAGATTCTCTCAAGCTTGTTGAGAGATCCATCAATCAAGAGCATGTGCTGCTAATACCCGATTCCCTATCGTGCGGTGATGATTGTACTGCAAGTTTCAGACATGCAAACACCCGTGAGCCTTCTCATCAGAGCTCTGCTTTTCCCGTACCTCGTTTTTGGTTCCCCATACAGACATAGGGCACGGTACTTGGATATTTGCATTGTCTTCCATTCTTGGCATCGTTCTGCCTCGTCATTGTCAAGGCCTGACCGAGATTGGTTACAAATGTGTGACAATGATTGGGAAAATTAGCAAGAAAAATATCACGATGTGCATAGATTTAGTATGCTCATTTGCTAAATAGATTGTCTTCCTCTTTTTGCTACCAAAATATCACCGAGCTGGATGGTTGCATGTTTCTTATCTCCAAGTTGAGTGTAGCATTTCCCCCTCAAGGTCCTGGCTTGGCATAAGTACTTGACTGATAAACAAGGTGACCAATCTCGGTCAGGGCCAATGACGGGATCAAGCAATCGGACATATCAGGTCGATCCGATTGCCGCCTGGTTTTCCACTTTGGTCATTCTTCGCTCATCAAACTGGATGCGGACGAATCATTGGTTGCTTGGTTGGCTCTGGTCGGCCTCCTGCAGACACGGCCCAACAAACTCCAACCCCTCGTGCTGGAGCCTGACGCCGAACAATCAGGGAAATGCGGCTATAAAAGCTGGCTGGAAGGTGGACTCTTCTCTCCAACTCAAACCTTTTCGCTATCATCAAAGTCAGCATGGTCATGACCAAGCTCACCTCCGACGGCCTCAGTGGTCTCTGCTCTAAGGAGAAACTGCAGCTTCTGGACACAGTCGACTCTCTCCGCTCTCATGGCATCAGCCACTACATTTCCCTCCCCCAAATCATTGTCTGCGGTGACCAATCCTCTGGCAAGAGTTCCGTCCTTGAAGCCATCTCAGGCGTCTCCTTTCCAGTTCGGAGCAATGTCTGCACACGCTTTCCAACCGAGCTGGTCTTGCGCAAGACGGCTCATACCGGTGTCAATGTCCGAATTGTCCCACATCATTCCCGCCCAGAGTCCGAACGAAAGACCTTGGCTAGTTTCCAGGAGACTCTTGACGCCTTTGACGAGCTCCCTGAGCTGATCGAGCGTGCGAAGGCTGCTATGGGTATTACTACCCTCGGCAAAGCCTTTTCAAACGACCTCCTTCGCATCGAAATTAGCGGCCCAGATCGCCCTCACCTCACCATCGTTGACTTGCCAGGTCTCATTCACGCCGAGACCAAGAGCCAGTCGCAGGCCGATGTGGAGATGATCAAAAAGGTGGTCAAGGGATATATGAAGGAACCCCGAAGCGTCATACTTGCCGTCGTCTCAGCTAAGAATGACTACGCCAACCAAATCGTTCTGCAGCTGGCTCAGCGAGCCGATCCCAAGCGCAACCGCACCCTTGGAGTCATTACAAAGCCCGACACTCTCCACCCTGGCTCCGAGAGTGAGCGGAGCTTCATCAATCTGGCCAATAACAAAGATGTTGAGTTTCGCCTTGGCTGGCACGTCCTTCGAAACAGAGACTCCGAGAAGGACTCTTGGGGCCAAGAAGAGCGGAACGCCATGGAAAGAGACTTCTTCTCTACGGGTGACTGGGCTTCTCTCAGTACATCTGACTGGGGCATCGACACTCTCAGAAACAGACTCAGCAAGCTGCTTGTTCGACAAATCGCTTCCGAGATCCCCCACTTGATCAACGAGATTTCGGGCAAAGCTGAGTTGCGTCAACATCAACTCGACCAACTGGGCCAGCCAAGGGCTACCATTGGCGAACAGAGAACCTACCTCATCCAGATTGGCCAAGATTTTCAGGCCATTGTCAAGGCCGCAACAGAAGGGAACTACACAAACCCCTTCTTTGAAGATGCCATGTCTGAGGAAGGATACCAGAAACGCTTCCGGGCCGTCATTCAGAACCTTGGCCAGGACTTTGCTAAGGAGCTTGACAAAAGCGGAAAGCATATCCAAATCCACGACGACCCCCTAGCAGAACTCCTGATCGATGGCCCTACCATGACCCGACAAGAATACCTTGACAAGATTGTCAAACTGATGAAAAGAAGCCGTGGCAGAGAGCTTCCTGGCATGTTCAACCCCTTGATTGTGGCTGATTTATTCAGAGAACAGTCTTCACCATGGGGAGATCTGGTTCGGGCCCATGTTAAGAATGTCTGGGATGGCGCTCGCGAGTTCCTACGACATGTTGTCATGCACACAGCCAACTTGAGCACTGCAGATACACTGCAAGAGTTTGTTCTAATGCCGAAGCTAGACGAGATTTTCAAAGGGCTAAGCGAGAAGGTTGAGGTGCTGCTCAGACAACATCAGGAAGGCCACCCAATCACCTACAACGACTCCTTCATCGACACTCTGCAACAGACCAGAATTGAGCGGCGAACAGCAGAAATTTTTGATGGACTGAAAGCTAAATTTGGCGGGGTAGACACTCTCACAACCACTACATTCAGGTACTCAAGTTATGACCTGAGGGACGTGGCTGAAAGCCTGGCCAGGCCCCCAAAGTCGGACATGAACTACTTTGCAGCTGAGGAGGTACTTGATGCCCTCGAGGCGTACTATAAGGTTTGAATCCATTACTCCAATATGAAGACCCGAGGAGTGCTCACTGGTGTCAGGTGGCCATGAAGAGATTTATTGACGATGTGGCCGTTGAGGCTATCGAAGCCAGCCTGGTTGCTGAACTTGGCAAGCTCATCGACCCTGTCAGTGTGTCTATGATGTCGAACAACGAGCTGAATCAAGTCGCCGGAGAAACAGAGGTCAGCAAGACGTTGCGCAAGGACCTTGAGACCGAGCTGGAGGTGTTGAAGGGCGGCATGGCAATCTGCAGACAGTTTGCTGGTTTCAGTTTCCTTGGTGAGTAACCTTGACATAGAAGGAGGGACCCTTGCAGCTAACCATGAACCAAAAGACCTTGGTCGGGACGGGCTCGACTCAGATTCCGAGGCTGAGCCAGAACCCAACTCGGACCAGGACGATGCCTCTGAAGGGGAGGGACCAGTCGAAGCGGCGGAAGACGAAACTCCTCACGAAGAAACGCCCTCTGTATGAATGACGATCGACAAACACCCCTTATAGGGGGAAGCCTCCGGGGTGCAAAAGCTGATTAGCATCAGATGTCTGACAACGTTGGCCACCAACCATCGAGTCAGGATCACCTTTGGGGCTCCTCGCCGGCAAAGCTGCATCCTGAAGCTGACATAGAGCCACCTATCGAGCACGATTCACCCCTTAAAGCCCCCCGCTCACTGACTAAGAAGGAGAAATTGAAGTTGAAGAAGAGGAAGATGAAGGTTCTACTTCCCCCTCCCCCTGCTCCTCCTCCTCCTCCTGAATGTGATGAAGCTGGGATTAAGGAACGTTCTAAGGAGAGTCTGTTTACCGAAATTAAGTACGAGCCGTGGCGGGAGTAAAGCATTACGAGCGAGAGACGACGGTGTTTTGCAACATTGGGTTTTGATGCTGCCGTGTGTCTTTACGTGTGTTTTTTGGTCATGTGGCTGACAGCCATGTCATTGAAAAAAATAGAAACGAGTGAGAGGAAAGCTTAGGTAATTGGTTTTAAGGAACTCAAATTCTATCGTGATATTTCCCAGCTCGTTGTCTTTTTAGAAACTCTGTTAATCGTTGCGTGAAACCGCAGAAGAATGTTACCATGGTAGACTTAGTGAAGCATAGCTTCTGGCTTGGTACTTTGGAAACATTCGCTTAAGGATCCCTTTGGGTATAAGTTGGCTCAGCCTTTCCTCCTTGGCCATTGGCTGAGCTCGAATTTAGAATTACCGAAGTCTATAATACTAGCACATATGAGGGTACGCCAAGTCATGAAGCGAGGGTCTTGTGGGTAGTGATACCAAATTCAGTCAAACTGGCGTGATGAGAGGGGCTCTGCTTATGCCAAGGATGACGGTAAAGGGTCTTTTGTATCCTTGTTCTTGCGATCAGGTGATCTATATCTTTAACCTCCAAGCCGTAACTTGGTTGCTTACTTTCTCTTCCCCGCGTTCATTATCTTTAGCTTCAACACCGGAATAACACGCCTTTCAGCGAAGTTCTCAAGCATCTTTTTGTACTAAGTTGAGGCTCTCAGTTTAACCATGGTTCAGCTTCCCGATCTCCCGACGGAGATTCTCGACAAGATCATCTCCAACGTTGGCCCGTTTGACGACAACAAGCTGAAAGAAACGAAAGAGGTGGTTAAGAACTTTGATGATTACCGGGTTTCTGTGAAATCTGTGGCCGGCCTGTGTCGCACTTGCAAAGCCCTGCGACGCGTAGCCCAACCGATCCTCTATCGATTCCCCTTAACTTACGACAATGACCTCGTCTCCCTTGTTCGCACACTGGCAACACGAGAAGATTTGAAGGGAAAGGTGCAAGGACTGGTCCTCATTTTTGCACCCGGAACCAAAATAAAGCAGGATGTGGTCACGGTCATTGCACCAGATGATCAGGACCTCTTCAACAACCTAGTTGCAAAGTATCCAACAAGAGCAAACGGGGAATTGATCAACATTCCCTCAACCTGGGCTACTGGAGAAAACGAATCGAAGGATGAGTTCGCCGGAAATCTCAAGCTTATTCTAGCCGCCTTGCTTCTTACGCAAATTCCCAACGTGGAGCGCATCTCGATGGACATGGGCTCCAATGCCGACTTTCCATTCTCCCAAACCGGATCTCTACCACGTCTTGTTGAGTTGACCGTTCACTACGAGGGCAACTTCTGCCTCGACATGATGGTTCTTGATGGTGTGCTGAAAGCGGCTCCCGCTCTGAAGACACTCGACGCGGTGAATGTTTACCTGGTGAAGGAATCGAAAGGCCTCTCTCACGACAACCTCACGACCCTGAACCTCACCGAACCCGCTCTCGAGGTGGGAAGCTTTAAGAAACTCATGGAGGGCTTCCCGAAGCTGGAGAGTCTCTATCTTCACCCCTCCCATACTTGCGTAATATCACACGAGGCTAGATTATCGGCATACCAGATTCTGCGGACCCTGCCCATTCGAGCAGATACCCTACGGCGCATCCACCTCCTCATTCAACCGATGGAGTGGGAGGGTGGCTTGTACGAAGCCCCCATACCCAGCCTCAAAGAAATGAAGTTGCTGGAAACCCTGTACATCGACTTTGCGAATCTGTACCCGGACGAGGACAAGACGGGTTTAGTAGAGTTCCTGCCGCCATCGATCCGGACCTACGAGCAAGACTACTGCCACGAAGAGCTTATGCCCGTGATGCTCGCCTTGGCTGAGAATGCTCCTGAAAAGTTTCCGAATCTGAAAAAGGTGGCCTTTGGGAAGTTTTATGAAGATGATGAAGATTTGTCTCCTGTGATTGAGAGGGCTTTCGGAAAGAGGAGTATCGAGTGTTCTTTTAAGATTGATGATGAGAAGGTTTTGGCAGTGAGGTAGTTATATGAGTGACAACATGATGGGGTTGATGGTTGTCAACCTCGGACATCCGAAGACGACGGAGCAAGGGTGGATCATGCTATACGTAGTTCTTTTTACGTACTACGTATAAATAAAGTCTTGTTTCGGACGGATCAAGTTTCATCCATCACCTCACGCTAAAGCCGATTAGAAATCGAGTTAAACCGAGCTGAACTGGCTGATGCTCCGTGACACATGCATATACCATCAGAGACGACAACTCCGAGGCTAATATCATGGACCGCCGCCCAGCTACGCGATCTTCACTGGCATGTATACCGTGTCGAAATCAGCACCTACGATGTGATGCCGTGAGCCCTTCTTGTTCAAGATGCCAAGGACTGGCAAGACCTTGTTCATATCCCGAGTCACGCCGCACGGGGAGGTCAAGGGCTCGAAAGCCGACATCGCAGAGCCCTCTCAACACATCGACACCACCACAGTCTCTGCTTGAGGATTGCAGGCTTTTGTCAACGAATTCGAATCAGCGAGTCTTTACCACAGTTTCAGAACTCGGGAGCAGTCCGGGATTCGATACCCTTCTAAACCTGTACTATCAGCGTTTCCACTGCAGCCATCCTTTTGTTCTTCCGAGAGTCGCCCTTCAGGATATTCTCACTGCTGAGACGCCGAGTGTCCAACAACTCATTTCGGCTATGCGATACATTGGTTCATTCTACACCGATCCACCATCAAACCAAAACCATCTCGTGGATATAAATACAGGGCCGACTGATGCGGTTGATGGCTTTTCAGTCCAGGCAACGCTGCTCATGGCTCTCGCAAATAGCATGTGTTCCGAGCAAGCGTCCTCCGAAGAGCTTCTGACAAAAGCAATTCAACAAGCCAAGAGCATTGGGATGCACACCAAGAGTTTCGCCGATGCTGTCGAGGCTTACAATCCCGTGCTTGCAGAAAGCTGGAGGCGGACGTGGTGGATGATATATGTTGTCGACTCCAACTTTTCTGTCATTAGGCGCGATCATCGGACGACTCTCAACAGCGCCGATTACGATGTCGGCCTACCTTGTGAGGATCATGACTACTGTCTGATGGTTTGTTTCCTTATGGTCCTATTGAATGGCTTTCTGACTCTCAACTGCTAGGAAATACCTCGGGGAGCTCCCTCATGGCAAGACTACAGCAACAGAGAATTTACCCTCGAAGAGAAGAATTTCTCTTCCTTTGCATATTTCATCGACGCAAATGACATTTTCGTTTCTTCGTTGCGAGCGTCTCACGAATTCCAAGACGTCTCAGAAGCAGAGATTCTCTGCGATAACCTCGAGGCCACAATAGCGGGCTGGTTTCTAATGTTGCCAGCCAACAAGCGTGGGCTTTGTATGAAGCCTGCGGCTGTAGACCAGCTAATGTTCCAGGCTTACATGATGATGTACACGTAAGTGGATTCTTTGGCGACATGTGCTGTATCTAGAAACTCAGGGCTGCTCAGATCCATAACTTACATCCATCGTCCACTTTCCACCCTACGGTACAACGTCGCCGAGGACATTTCAAGCTGCGGCTCGCCTCCACCGCCACTCGCTTCTGCAACGGAAATTCGCAGTCCTTTAGATGGTCGTACACATTTGGACAAGTTACTGGAAGCTATCCAGAAACAGAACCAATGCCTGATAACCCTACCTGTTGAGGCTGTTCAGATCTCACCCTTCACCATCTGCATGATTGCGTGCTGCACGATTGCTCACCTTGTTGCTTACAAGTCCGCACTTGGACCTCGCGAAGCTGACGTGGCTCGATCTCGCATTCGGGTTTGTATCGGTACTCTCAGACACTATGAAGACATCTGGCCTCGAGCAAAGAAGATCTTGCGTGAGCTCAAGTGTATCGCTCATACCATTATAGAGTCTGTTGCAGTACCGCAGTTGCCATTGACGGGCTGTGAGATGTTGGTTGAACAAGAAAGCATAATAGTTGATTTGTTGGAAGAAGAGTGGCTGCATGCTTTTGCAAGAGAGGATGGCTTGTCGGTGTAAAAGTATGCTAGTAATAGTTGACAATTTTTGCGAGGTGAGGTGTTAGATGCGCACAAGATGATAAACGTCCTTTATAGGCAGTGGGCATTCGATTCAAATTAGATTGTAATTCGGTTTCAAATCAAATCTAAATCGAATGTAATTCGAATGCAATTTGAATGGAATTCGATTGAAATTCGATTGGGGTCTACACAGGTATCTTTATCAGTGTTCTTTAAACTACCTACCTCCTGATGCTTAGATCGGGTATGCCTGGCTAGCACATTCTAACTTCACTCTTTTCAGCCAGTTTCTAATATTAAATAACATTAAAACTGCCTCTCCTTTTTATTGCTCCTCTTTTATGCTGTCTCATCTCTCATGTTCCTCTTCGGACCCCGACCTAGGCTTGGCGTCAAGCCCCGAATAGCCTAAGAGTGGGACCAGGGTCAAGAGTCCGAATAGCCTAACACGGAGGAGATGGTGAAATTGAAATCATTGCCTTGAAAAGCTTGCATGTTCTGTCTGTCTTCCCATAGGATTTACCTGCTCCTCTTGTGTGACATTCGTCTTCATCCATCATGGCACACCTCTTCCGAACGACGGCCTTTGGCGCCACGGCACGAGCGATATCCGGCGACCGACTCCTGGCGTTTCCAACCGACAAGCACAAATACTCAGAGAGCCAGTCCTCAAACTCATCGCAAGATGGCGGTCAGAGTGTGGTGGTTGTTGGGTGGTGAGTGTTGCGACACTGGCTCGGATCATGTACTCACGGCGATCAGGGAGTCGAGCGACGACCCGGAGAACCCTCACAACTGGTCAACGGCTAGAAAGACTGGGGTTTCGTTTCTGATCTGGCACGTATCGATCCGAAAGCTGTTTCTAGGGGGGCCATGTCTTGCTAACGAAGTGTCACAGCATGTATACGTTTACAATCTACTGCGGATCCTCCATCTACGTCCCTAGCACCGAGTGCGTCGTCACACCGGCCGATATGCCTTCATATAATGCTGACCTTCTGTAGACAAGTTACAAAGTCTTTTGGCGTTTCGGAAACTGTGGCGTCTCTTGGGTTGGCCCTATATGTCCTTGGCTGTATGTTCTGCAACTCCTTTAATTTGCCCAGCTGACTTTCATCCTTAGATGGGCTTGGCCCTTTGCTGTTCTCGCCCTTGAGCGAGATGCCATACATCGGTCGAAATCCCATCTACATAATCACCTTTGCCATCTTTATAATCCTCTCCGTCGCTGCAGCTTTGTGTGAAACCTTTGCTGGCTTTCTGGTGGTCAGGTTCCTCCAAGGGTTCTTTGGCAGTCCGTGCCTGGCAACTGGAGCTGCAACATTGACTGATATGGTAAGAAAAGCGTGTTGCCCATCTCCCTACTGCTTGTCTAATATGAAGCAGTTCTCTGTTATCTACATCCCCTACAGTCTTGCGGCATGGTCTGGTGCCATGTATTGTGGTCCTGCACTAGGTCCTTTACTGTCCGGGTTCTCCGTCACCGCCAAGAGGTGAGTCCCACTCCTGGGTGGACTATACCTTTGCTAATCAAAAGTAGCTGGAGATGGTCAATGTGGGAGCTCCTCTGGCTCTCTGGCTTGATGTTTATCCCACTTTTCTTCCTCTTGCCCGAAACCTCGACACCCACACTCCTATACTACAAGGCCAAGCGTCTTCGAAAGGAGACGAATTCTACGAGATACGTCTCAGAAGCCATAAGCTCCAACACCGCCTCACGTAAGGACGTTGTCAAGATGGCCTTGATAAAGCCGTTTGAAATCACCCTCAAGGATCCAGCCATCGCTTTTGTCAATATTTACGTAAGTACCCATTACCTCCAATCGCAAAAGATATGCTAATATTGACCCTCAGACTTCTTTCACATACGGCATCTATTACTCTTTCTTCGAAGTCTTTTCTCTCGTATACCCAAAGATCTACGGCATGAACCTCGGCGAGTCAAGCGCAGTATTCGTCTGCGTCCTCATAGCTTGCCTTCTAGGCGCTTTCCAATACTGTTCCTGGTACCGTCTCTTCATCGAAAAGCGCTTCAAAAAGCTAGGCACTTTTGATTCCCCCGAAACATACCTACGCCCAGGACTCGGGGGAGTCTTTGGTGTCACGGCTGGCATGTTTCTATTCGGCTGGGCTGCGCGAGGCTCTATCCATTGGGTTGTACCCACCATCGGCATCGTCATGTATTGTGGATGTGGATTCGTTGTTGGAATCGGCATCTTCATCTACTTGCCGCTAAGCTATCCGCAGTACGCAGCCAGTCTTTTTGCCGCGAACGACGCAATGAGGAGTTCGTTTGCTGCTGCCGCGATCCTCTTCGGGAGACCGCTGTATATCAACATGGGTGTTGCAAAGGGTTGCAGCCTGCTGGGTGGCTTGAGCGTGTTTGGTGTGGTTGGTTTCTGGTACTTGTTCGTCTATGGCGAAAAGCTTCGCAAGAAGAGTCGATTCACTGTGCACGAAGAGAGTCGAGATTCTGTGTAACGTATAGTTGCGTTTGGGACGGGCTATATCTCTACCGGGGGATGCAATGTCGTCCAGATGCATTGGGGTGCCGAATTTTCGGAACAGGGGCTCCGCAGAGTCTCAAGTTACCCAAGGCCAACAGCATTATCTATCGAAAATAGCAAAATTCTGCTCGCAACTCAACGGCACTTACATGTACCAACGAAACTCTCTGTGGTCTGAAATTGAGGTGTCTTCGTGTACCTGTTGGGTTATGCTTGAACGATATCAACGCTGTAGCCAGAAACGCTGTAGCTGTATTCGCATGTTATCGCCGTATATGTCGAATCGCCCTGGCTGCTCATCCGAACTCTCATTGCGTCGTTTTAAACCGTAGAAACTCTCAAACAGGCTGAAATTGAGCCCAATCGAAGCGCCGAGAAATTCTCCGGGCCCAAAAAGCCCCAAGAGCCCAAATCGAGGCGTTTCGAGATGCGGCAAGTTTGTGAAGCATCTGGCGATATATATATCGAGAAATCCGCAACTGGCTCCTCACAACTTTCCTTCAACTTTTTCCTGGCGAAATCCGTCTCTCTCTGCTGCCTAATCATCCGGATGAGGTGTTTTTTGTGAAAAGAGAAAGATTGTCGAGCACGTACTTATCCCACTCGGCAGTGAAATCCTTTTAAAGGCTTCCTTCTCGTGGGAGCTTATAAATACCAAATGCAGCCTAAACCTCTGCCTTCCGATAATATCCTCAGTGTGTGTACGTGTAGGGCGCCTATCACGTCCTCCCATGACTGGGTTGGTGGTCGATAGATCATGCCATGGGGAAACGGGCAACCTCTTAAACCCGAGATTTCGACATCTCTCGCCAATGGGAGGTCCGAGATGGTGTTTGGCTGTCAGCCCAATCTGCAGATGGCCCGCCCCGGCGCTGGCCGGGTGCAACACATCTGTGGAGCTCCCTCCGGGTGACGCCATCGCGGACCCTGGCCGATCAGAGGAACGACCACAACCCGGAGGGGCAGGGCTGGGCTGTGAGCGGGGAAAGATCTCAAGGGTTCGGGGGAGGTTTACCGGGGGACAAGGTGATTTTCGGCTCCGGCTTCGTTGCTCGGATGTCAAGACGGCTCGAGTGTCTGGGCGACTGCATCTCGACAACAGGGTCTTGGACATGAAGCTTAACTTGAAAAGATCAACGCATTCTCCATCGAGGATGCTTGTCTGGCTTATCTGATTGATCAATTAGATGTTTGGTCCAGTTCCGGGATATGCTAACCCGATTAGCCGACATCGGTGCCGTGTGAAGGCGTCATCATCCAACATCTGTCGCAATCCCCATTTCGCCATTCTGGAGATTAATAATGAAACCTCACTAACATAAACGGGTCCTAACTGGACGACAGAAAACGATCAAGATAGATATAAAGAGAATTGAATATCCAAAGTCAGAACAACCTCTTCTTCCTCTGCAGATTCAATCATCAAACCAATCAGTCAAAATGGCTCCTCCTACCGAGTTTATCAGCGTCACCTTCCCCAACGCCTCTACGGAGTTGGACCCCATCCCCGGTGCTGGTATTGATCCCGAGTACCTCGTCCGCTATGCTCGGTCTCTGGATGACCATGAGTTCAACTACACTCTCATCCCCTACCACTCCTCCTCCTTCGACCCCTTCACCATCGGCGCAACTATCCTCGCTGTGACCAAGAAGATCAAGATTGTCATCGCTCTCCGCCCTAACACCGTCTACCCTACCGTTGCCGCCAAGTCTCTGGCTACTCTTGACCAGCTTGGCAAGGGCCGAGTTGTTGTTCACTTCATCGCTGGTGGCAACGATGCTGAGCAGGCCCGTGAGGGTGACTTCTACAACAAGGAGGAGCGATATGAGCGCCAGGAGGAGTATATCAAGATTCTCCGCCGCGCCTGGGCTTCCACTGAGCCTTTTGACTGGGACGGCAAGTACTACAAGTTCAAGGACTTCAGCAGCCACGTCCGCCCTGTCAACGGCCACATCGACGTCTCTGTGGGTGGCTCTTCTGACGCCGCCTACCGCACTGGTGGTGCTCTCGCCGACATCTTCGGTCTCTGGGGTGAGCCCCTCAAGGAGACCAAGGAGCAGATCGACCGCATCTACGCCGAGGCTGAGAAGGCTGGCCGCAAGGACCGCCCTCGTATCTGGGTCACCTTCCGACCCATCGTCGCCGAGACTGAGGAGCTCGCCTGGGCCAAGGCTCACCGAACCCTTGATGCCCTCAAGTCCAACCGACCTTCTCAGATTGGCAAGTTCGCCCCCAACGACGCCACCCCTCAGAACGTTGGCTCTCAGCGTCTGCTGGACATTGCCAAGAAGGGCGAGGTCCAGGATCGCGCTCTGTGGTATCCTACCGTGACAGCCACCAACGCCCGCGGAGCTTCTACCGCTCTTGTCGGTTCTTACCAGACTGTCATCGACTCTATCCTCGACTATGTTGACCTCGGTGCTTCTCTCATCTCCATCCGTGGTTACGACAACCTCAACGATGCTATCGACTATGGCCGATACATCCTGCCCGGTGTGCGAGCTGGTATTAAGGAGCGGGAGAACAAGGCCAACAGTGCTTCCAAGGAGGAGCCCCCCAAGGTTGAAGCTGCGATTCCTGAGGCCCCCAAGGTGGTTCCTGTTTCTGCTTAAGTGCAAAAATTGATGGTTTTGACTGGTTGGAATTGACTCCATGGATGGCGTTTAATATCTCGAGCTATCAATAAATTCGTAAAACATGATACTACTCTCCCTGGCATCCGTGATTATTCTAAGGTTGACTTTTTATGTGCGATTGAATACTATCTTACTATCACCAGTTTTCTAGTTCCCGGCAATCCACATATATTAGCGGTGGAAGAACAGAGACAAACATACTGGGAACGACGCAACATATCATACCTCATGTGCCGTGGACATGTGGCACTAGATAGTTAACAAGAATCGTTTTGGGCCAAACGTTAGATATTGTTTTATTCGATAGGATTTGTGTAAATTCTAAACCTCGACCGACAACATCTATAGCGTGGGCATCTTTGCGAAAGGGCCATCCGCAACAGCGGAAGTCAACCCCGCGAATACCCTATAAATTCTTCTGAATTGATTGAAGAGTGTAGAGGAATTATTCTTGCATCACTTCTACACCTTACATGAAAGGGTTGGACGCTTTGATAGACTAAATGCGGTCTCTCTTTATAGACAGATATGCTTAGTGTATTGAAGTAAGGCGAGTTGCCAAACATTATTTTCTCCACACATAGTGAGTAGCAGGCAAATTATTATAGACAACACTCAGCAAATAGGCCAGTTGTGTGGTTATGTATGTTGACAACTATTCCTGTCAGCCACGTATCTAACTTGCAAGCCCCTACATCATATAAGCCCAAAGGTGTTCTGTTATTGTGCTTAATACAACGTGAACATCTTATATACGGCCATTGCTTATGCCCTACCTCCAAGATCGAAACTAAAATCAACGCTTTTCAACAATAGGGATCCATGATGTATCACGCTTCGAGCCAAAGCCTTCTCCACTCGTCATATCTGCCCTTGGCCATCCACACCCTGGAGAGCTTGACTTGCTGTATACTGATATTTAGGTCTCGGTTTATGTATTTCTTCGGGAAGAGGCAACGAAATTTATCGTGATGCATGATTGCCTTCCCCTGTTCATGACTGAGTTCAGCTTAATAAATAAGGAGCCACAGCTGGGAAACACGGTGCATACGGGTTTTCACAATATCAAGGCTCTACGCTACTAGGTACCTATCGTATATTAAAAACCACTTCCCTCAACGTGACTAGAAAGAAGCTCGAGACAGATGCTCTAAAAAAGGTAATATTGTTTGGGGATACACGTGACTGCCTCGTGCATCTTATCACCGATCTTCCCAAAAAGGAAATCTGACTTCAAACACCTTGCTGGCATTAGCAACGGCATCCTGGCAATGCGCAAAAAGGCGGCTGGTCCCTCGTAATTGAGTAACCAGCTTGATTGATGGATGAGATGCCCCGTACTGGAATCGAACCAGTGATCTTATCATGTCGTTGAATTACTAGTGATACGCTTTACCACTGAGCCAACGGGGCTTGTTGGAGCTACCAAATGTTTGGACTATAGAGGCGGTGGACAACTCCACCACCCATCCTAGGGTATCTCCAAGCTACAGACAAAGTCAATGGATAATAGGCATTGAGCTCCGTACTCACGATCATTGCGGTTTACTATCTAAGGTGGCTCGATAGGGAATGACAACATGTCTACCCACTCTATCATCCTGGCGTGATATTATCTCTTTCAATCAAGAGAACCCAGTAGCTAGAGTCCTTCTGGGAATCAATTATCCGGATAATTTTCTCTCTTTCAACTAGGTGAGCCCGTCATCTCAAAGGACCCTCCGGCAATCAATTATCCGGTTCGATGTACTCGATTCACATTGATTGATGGCCGTGACTCAATGCAGATGTGTCGTGAGTCAATTCGATCCCTCCTAGTCGTAGCCGAGCCCTCCAACAACATTGATTCCACTATCAATCTCAAATACCTCTTTCTGAATCATTCAAAGATGCGTCTGCCGTTCAAGACATCTCCGCGGCCCCACAACCAAAAATGATTCCAAAGATCAGGTCACCCCAACTACCGAATAGGAAATTGACTCACGAGTTCAGCTGCGGGTATGGCTCCAGCCCTGCAGTGTGGCGTACCACGAGGGAGTTTGCGGGGCACGACAAGGAGTCACCACTCTAACACAAGCGTTAACATCTTGCTGTCTTTGACACTGTTTCTCATCACATCTGTTAGGATCTGTCAATGTGACCTTGAAGGTTTATGGCAGACGGGAACTATGCACAAAACGGGCAGAGAACCTTTTCCCCTTGGCGTTGCTAATTCTGTGGTTCCAATACGCGCCCACATCGGGCTAGGGCGCTTTCAGGTAATAAGAAGCATATTCATGGTATTACAAGCGACGGAGTGATTCCAGGTATTCGACTCCGGTTCAGTCATTGACCGCAGAAGCCGAGCACCCTCGGTTTGAAAATTACCGTGACATCATTGGCCGAGGGGCGTTGTTTCATGGATGCATGAACAACTGATTTGTATGACTGCCAAGATAAGGGCTTTGGTATTTAAAACCACCGACATCCTCGTCCTGTTTGAGACAATCAGATTCAATTCAACAGAGTTATTCTTCTCTTACTTCTCATCGTCAATATTCGACAGCCATGTATATCAAAGGACCCCACGGAGAGGCTGACATTTCAGCCCTGCGAAAGTTAATCCGAGAGAACCCTCTTGGCCTTCTCACCACAGCCATCTCTTCTCCCAACTTTGATTTTCTCCAGTCCAGTCATATCCCCTTTGTTCTAGACGTCGAAGATGAGTCAAGCGAGACCGAGCTAGGAAAGCTGCGGGGTCATCTGGCGAGGGTCAACCCACAGAGCAAGGCCATGATCGAGAGCCTCTCCGAGAACCCCCAGTTAAACAACGTCATTGAGCAAGACGTCATTGTCATCTTCAACTCTCCCATTCAACACTACGTTACGCCCAAGTTTTACACAGAGACGAAGCCCACCACTGGCAAGGTTGTTCCGACGTGGAACTACGCCGCGGTACAAGTCTACGGCCGCGCTAAAGTCTTTTACGACACCAAGGCCGAGGAGACGGGCCAATTCCTCACGAAGCAGATCGGCGACCTCAGCTACCACGCCGAAACTCAAGTCATGGGCTTCACCGGCGGCGACAACCCCGTGGACTGGAAGTTGACAGACGCCCCGGACCGGTTCATCCAGCTTTTGCAGAAGAGCATCATCGGCATCGAGATTGAGATTACAAAGATGGGAGGAAAATTCAAGATGAGTCAGGAGATGGGAATGGGTGATCGTGAGGGTGTCATCAAGGGGTTTTCAAGGTTGGAGTCTGAGAGGGCGCAGGAAATGTCCAAGCTTGTGCAATATCGGAGTGATTTGAAGGAGGCAAAGAAGGCCAAGGCATGATTGACATGCTTCAAAGAGGAAACTACGAAAAGATGAAGAATAGAATATCATGATTTTGTAACTAAATTATCACGGACTTGATCTGCTGACTCTGGCGACTCGACCCAACCACCCAATTCCCCACCCTGTCAGATGTTGGCTGAAACGCTAGGCAATCTTTCCACCGCCAACAACAGATCTCACGTTCTGTAAACTTCACGCTGACATTGTCTTTTCAGTATCTTTCTACAAAATGGCCAGAACTAGATATTCAAGCCCATCGGAGCAGCAAAAGCGTCAACTGGCCACCATATTGTCTCGCCAGGATCAACCCTCGTCATCCCATCAAGTCCAAGAACTGGCCCAGCCCAATCAAGATGGAACTAGTATCAACTTTGAATATGCCAACCCGCAGCAAAACAGCCTCATCTGCAGACTTCCACCCGAGATACGTTCTTGCATCTATTCGATCCTCTGGAAGGAGGCTGGCCTGATGCAACACGTCAATCCAAAAGATGACTGGGAGGTGAACCCCTTCCACTATAGGTGCATCACCCAAGAAATCCCCGAGTCTGGTGGACAAGCCTCCGACAGCCTTGCAGGCGCGGAATCAGCCACGCAGTCGGATCCCGAGGAGCGGGCACCCTTGGGCGAAGGCTGTTACTACTGCCGTTGCAAATTTGACTACGGCTTTGATGATGTGAGGGGTCAACCGCCTACTTTGGAAAAGAGCGTATTCTTACCCATGCTATTAAGCTGTAAGACACTGTGAGTTGAAAAAGATTCCTCTCATCTCATCGTATTCAAACTTTATAGTCACCTTGAAGTACTCGAGTCGATTGGCCGACATGTCTGCTTCAACTTCCTCTACCCCTGGTACGCAACAAACTTCTTAATCCAAGCTCAACCCCCGATGGCGTACCACCTCCGACACATCTGCATGGCCCTGCACCTCTACGGCGAAGCATGGCTTTCCCAGAGTGACTGGATCAAGCTCACAAAAGTCTTTTATCAACTCCCAAAGCTGCAGCGCATCACCTTCTACATGGACGTGGTTCGGGTCGGGTGGCGACGCGAATTACCTCGTCGACAGGTCATGAACCCAAGACTCTGTTTCTGGTTCGCGTGGCTACCTCAGCATATCAAGTTGGAGGTTTCTATTCCATGTGACTCATTGGAGGACATGGAGACGGGAGAGAGGGGGACATTTTTTCGATTTCTCAAGATGAGTGGGGGTTTGGTCGAGGGGGCGACTTTGGATATGATTCTTGGGGAGGACCATCCCAAAACTCGACCAGAGGTGGAACATTATCCTCGTCTTGAGTTGCCAGAATAGTGCTCGTTTTGATCAAAAGGTTTATGAATCTTATAAATTATTACAAAAAGATCAGGGTTGTACCTGAGATGTAGGAACTGCCGCCGTTTGAGGGGTAGAAGGCTTCAACCGCGGACATCCTTCATCTAGTAGCTGATGCCGTGACGTGGCATTCAAGAGCCCATCTCCTTGATCCAAATACCGCAGTACAGAATTATATTGGGCAAAATCTCTCTGGTCCAAAAGCTTGTACTCGATTATGAGCTGGTGCCGGCTCTTTTGTGTGCTCGCCACCTCCCGCCAGGCCTCTTCCTCAGTAACACCAAGATGACCGAACCATGTACTAGAAAGCCGCACGATGGGC